ATATCTCCACTCAAATATGATAGCTTGTCACACTATAGCCCGGGTGTTTTTCCCAGGCCAGGTCTATAAGCCCTGACCTCACCCTGCGAGATGTGGCGACATCAAGGTAGTCCAGAAATGGGTCTCAGGTCCGATAAATTACAAAGGGTTTGTCCTTTAATGCCATAGAAAAAGCTTTAAATGGAACGATACCAGTCACAGTTTGTTTCCACTGAGTGGGGGTTTAGTCAGTGATCCACAGGTCTAGATATATTTCTGTGCGCAGTGCAGCAGAATGTGTAGAAGGTCTCTGTGGGGAAAACAAAGGCTACTTCCTTGTTTACCTGCTGTGCACATGCTCAGTATTGTGCCTCTGTTATTGTAAATATACACAAAGGGCTTTATTCACTAAAAACAGGAACAAAAATAAAGCATAACATGTTAAAATAACAAACGATAAACCAGAAAAACGTATTGCGACCAGAAGGATTAAAACGATATCAAATAAAGGGACGGTGCAGCTTAAACAGCCGGGAACGTTCTTCAGTCACTGTTGGACTGATTGTCACCGTTCCTGCAGGGTTGGTGGTCTGACTGAACACTGAAGCATCTCAGCTTTAAGGTTGCTGCTGGTTTCTGATTGACAGATGAAACATCACAGCAGGTCAGTCCCTCCAGCCTGGAAAACCTGGAGGTCACGCTACATTTTCCTCAAGCTGCCCAGGTGGTTCCTGACCAGAGGAACCACCTCAGATGTTGGTTCTTTCATCCAAGATCCAAATACTGGAGCTCCTCTGTTTAAAAATCTGCATCTGCTCCTCTGTTGGCTCCTCTCTTCTGGATTAGGTGTGGGAGTAATGCTAACCCGAAGAATGAAGGTTTCTGCTGCGGTCGGTGGGCGGGGCTTAGTGGGATGTGTGAAATGTTGATGTTCTGTTGGAAAACAAACAACAGCTGTTTTTTACCATTAAAGATGTCTCTGCCTCCGGCTGGTTCTGACTGTCTCTTTGTCTCCTTGCAGAACGTCCACTTCTACCTCACAGGACCCTGAAAAAGGTAAAAAAGAAACAGAGTAAGAAGTTTGTTTCATTTCACACGCTGTGCTGACGTCTGAGTGTTTATAAGAATGAAAACTTAGCAGAAAGGGAGGAAGGATCTGTGATGACGCTCCTTAGAGCGCCCAGAGCACTGAAGCCTCAGCTTCCTGCTCTGGACATGCAGTTGATCTGCTGATCCTCTGGGACATGAAGGCAGAAGGTTTATGACCACAGGCCTGAGCAGGAAATGTATCATCTATTTAGTTTGGTTTTTCTATTAGTTTGAGGATTAGTTTCAGTTTTTTATAGAGTTTGCAATTATTTGCAATCAAAAACTCATCACTTGATACCATTAAAAAAAATTACAGCTGATTTTAACAGAGAAAAAAAACAAAACAATTTCCCATCAGTTTGCAAGACTCATAAAAACGAATTTAACACCAAAACATTTATGTGTATTTATTCAATTTCAGTCTGTTTCTAGTTAGTTTTAATTTCAGTGGTTATAATTAACAAGAATGTTTCACCATTTTAGTTTTAATTTTTTTGTTTTATTTAATGATAATAATCTTTGAGCAGGTCCATTACTGGGGTTCTGTGTTCTGCCACCAGAGGGCGCTAATTAACCAACCATTTACCTCCCTGTCTGTGTTTAGATGCAGAGCTGATCAGCTGCGTCAAAGACGAGAACCTGAACAGGGTGAGATAATTAGATAATATGCACTTGAAATAAGTCGATGCCATTATTTTTTTTCTATTTTAAATGTAAATTGTCTTTTTCCATTGGCAAAGTTTTTCACTTATCTCTTCAATTAAAGAAGAAATGCACTTTTTTTTTTGAGTAAAAAAAAAAAGACTTATTTGGATTTAAAATTTATTTAAGTGTAATAACAATATTGGCTTGAAATTTTGATTTTCAACGTATTTTACTGAGAACAATTATTTTCCCATTCCAAAACTTTTTATTTTAGCTGAAGTTGACAGATGTCATCATTCTGGTCTCAGGAAACGGCGCCACACGCTGTAACCTTGGACACCGTCCACTACTGCGCTCCTTTCATTGACTCTGTTGATCCTACTGGCTAAATCTGTCAGATATCGGTTTATCAGATAAAACTGTAACTTGGCTTTAAAGGCTAATAAAAGGTTTCAATTTCACTGTCTGGAAATGTCAGGGATTTTAAGCGCAATACAAAGGGTTAGTCTTTTTTTTTTTAAATAAATGCATTTTCCCTTGATTTGAGTAGGTAAATAAGATAAAATTGTTTACTTTTAATATACGAAAAATGACTCGGATTGCATAATGTCTAATTAGTCTACTTATAAGAGAAATGCCTTTATTTTAAAACAAAATGATTCATAGATAGTTTTTGCAGTGTAAATCAAACTTGAACTTATTGCATCAAAGTCAGTTTAGTTGAACCTTAGTGGTCCTCAGCTCAGTAAATCTCTTGAGTGTTTTTCTCCTCAATCATTGTTGATGTTGCCTCTAAAGTTGCATCAGCGTTCGCAGATTGAAATGCTTCCTCATTTTAACCTGAAACATTGTTATAATTGTATCTTCTCTGTTAGATGTTGATGTGTTTCTTGAACCTTGTATCGAGGTTTATAAAAGGTGACGCCTGTTTCCCTGCAGCTGACGGAGCTCCACCAGCAGGGGGCAGACCTGGAGCTGCAGGACGCAGACGGCTGCACACTGCTGCATCACGCCGTCCAGGCCGGCAGCAAAGACATCGTCAAGTACCTCATTGAGAACGGTGAGACACACTGGGTTTGAGGTTCTGCTTCGGATTAGGCCTGAGCTTCCTGGAAGGTCACCATGGAAACAGATGCTAAGCACAGCTGGAGCTTCGCAGCTTCAACTTTGATCAAACTGGTTTCTGTCATGAGATGTTCTGATGTGACCTGTTATTAAAAAAAAAAATGATGCGGGAGCGTTTGATCATTTTGGAGTGAAACATCTGCAGTTTTTTCTCCTGTCTGAATGGTGCCTGTTTGTTTCCTCCCATCAGTTCCCACCTCCCACCTGGACGTCACAGAGACGGAGACGTGAGTCCGCTTTGTTTAGCCGGTAAATCCACATTATTCCTTCCAGAGATAAATCTGGTTTTTGTTTTTCAGAGGAGAGACGGCCCTCCATAGAGCCGCCACCCTCTGTCAGAGGAGCATCTGTCACTTCCTGGTGGAGGCGGGGGCTTCGCTAATGAAGACAGACCTGCAGGTAAACCCACCTGGAAACGCTCACCTGCAGCACCGAGCAGCGTCCATCACACCTTTCATATTAGTGTTCACTGATTCTTTTAAGTTTAAAGCTGCAGGGAAATAAAAGCGACTTTGAACCAACGTCGAAGAAGCTCTCCAGAACAAAACAAGAAATAAAATCCTGGAGAAATAGATTAAATACGAATAACTGGAAGAGAAAACTAGCATTAAAAAAGACCAGAAAATGAAACTTGGCTTTTTTTCAGATTTTTACTCAGACTCCTAAAGATCTGTTTTTACACATTAACTTGTTTTTCTATTCTTTATTCTGTTCTTTTAAATTAAAAATAAAGTTTTCACTGGAAGCTCATTAAACAGAAATGCTCTTTTAAACTCTTCTCTGGTTACAAGAAGATTCCTTATAGCTAATTTTTTGGTTCACTATAACCTATTTAGCACACATGGTTGTTTTTTTATAACAAATGAAAACTGATTTTGGATTTCTAGAAATAGTAATTTTCAACTTTTTTTTAAAAGCGTTAACATGAGGAGCCATTAATTATACAGGGAGCTGCAGGTGATCAATTAACGTAGATTTAATATGAATTTCTATTAATTAAGACAAACTAATTTCATTTGGTATTCCTTAATATTTTTAATAAAGAATCTTTATATTTTTAAAAAGTAAAAAACGAATTAACCTTTGTAAAATTCAGCTCGATTAAAAGCAGAACTCACAATATACTCAAGGGGGATTCAGTCACAGGAAATCAGGTAATATATGGTACATTATAAATTTGATATGAAAGTAAAAATATCCAACCACTTAGTAAGAATTTTGTTGATTTTTGGTAACAATGATTTATAAAAAATAAAAATCAAACTACCAAGAATCAATAGTTTCATTCAAAAATCCCCCCCAGATCTCACCGGGAGAGTCTTTCTTTCCCTGGGCGGAGTGTTCTGACACCGTTCTCTGTTCTGCGGCGCTGGGACAATCTTTGATCGCCCTTATATTTTTCTTATCTTATTTTGAACTTGTTTTTAACATACAACCAAACAAAAAGTCCCGCTGCACAAATCTGACAGTGTGCGTCCTCCTCTCCGGTCAAGCCGCGCGCCGACACACACGCCAATTTTTATTAACAAATTTCTTCCACAGAAAAAAAACAGCATTTTAATACCCAAGATCATTTTTATGATTCGAAATAATATTAGCAATGAAATAATTCACAGTTTATTCATTATTTATTAACTAAAGAAACATGGATCCCAGTACTGGCCTGTGAGGAACCCCACAGGAAATATTGCGGTTCTTTCTTAAATTCTGAGATTTATTTTCTACATGGATCCCTGAGGAAAACAGTAAAACACTTCTTGGACAACATGTCTCCATTTTCCCCCGAATCATTAACCCTTTAAAGCCAGGACCATGACAGAATTGACAGAATTCTTTTCTTTTTTTTTATTAGAGTTGTCATTGAATTTTCTGACAAATTACATAAAAAAAATGTTTTTATAAATTCAATTAGATCATTTATTTGCATCAAATTTGATACATAAGGCATTTCTCTATAATCTTTTAAACGTTTTTTGTTCACTACATGTCTTATTATGTAAGTCAGGGATAAAAATATAACACTGATGATGTAAAGGTCTTAAAAACTCATGAATCAAACATGATGCAATTGGCTTTAAAGGGTTTAGAATGTTTTTAAGCATCTAGTTTTTGTCTGTTTTTAAGTTCTGTTCTTTGTGTCTCTTTGTGCTCGAGTCTCAGCCTGTTTGTCTTTATTAAACTTGTTCTACCAGTTTTCTTTGAAATGTGTGGATCTCAGTATGGATTCATGTTTAACCTTCATCCTATGTTCCTTTCTCCTCCTCGTGGGACTCCTAGTTCCAGTTGGGATCAGTTTGTTGTGTTTTCCTGCAGCATTGCAGCTCTTTACTCATTGGTCTGTTGTTAAAATAATGATCGTCTGTGTTTGGAGGAGTTTTGCTTCTTTCTGCTTCTTCTTCCAGCAGTTTGCTGGTTTTGTGATTACAATGACATCGCTGAGTTTTTGAAGCTCTTTCTCTTTATTAAGTTTCTCCATGTTTTAATTGTTTGTCCATGTTTTTTCATTTATTTTTTTTTATTATAACTGTTATTTTTCTCCCTCTTAATCTTTTATCAGTTATAGCTGTTTGTGTTGTTTGCTTTTTTTCCCTGTGAGTTTTTTTCATTTTCCTTTTTCAGTGTTAAATCTAAAATGAATTGAAACTAAATTGTCTGTAAAGATTTAGTTTGTGATCAGTGGCAGCCTTCTGCTGCATGAGGCCGTTTGTCTTCGGGGTTTTTTCCCCCCCTGGCAGGATGACGGCCACCAGCCCGATCCGTGCCTCTGCACTTTAAATGGATCTCCAGTAGTATTTGACCCACTTCTATAAAGTGATTAATGTTGTGTGTCAGTGAGAAACGAAGCTCCACAGGATTCCCCAGCCTCCGTCCCCAACGCACAAAGGCCTCGGCTCACCGTCGCCATGGTGAAGCCAGTGGTAACAGGAAACAGCCCATAATCTGAGCTTTTCTCTCCTCGGCTCCACAAATAAAGAGTTTATGTGTTATTTGGAGTTGGTGGTGAGCTGGAAATCACCGCAGGAGTTTAGATGAGCTGAGAGGCTTCTCTTCTTTCATTTCTCACACCATCCATCCCTCCATCCATCTGCTACCACCTCCATTTAAAACTCTTCCCAGCTTCTGGGTTTTAGATTTCTGCATTAAGATGACCGCAGGCTTCAAGGACAGTCTGAGCTTTCATTTGTTTGGAGCTAATTATTACTTTTATTGAGCAGGAACACATTTTTTCCTTTACCATGGCAACGAGCCGAACAGTGAACCAGACTATAACCTTAACCAGGAGGGAGGTCAGCCATCATTAGGGATGCCAACTCCTTAAAAAAAAAATGGACACCTCATGTGCGTGCCAGCTGACCCTTTTGTCTTTACCCCTCCTGGCGTGGTGATTTTTTTTTTTTTTTTTAGCCCCCCTTTGTGTGTAAATTATTATTTTTTTTATTGTTTGACTCAAATCTGCATTGAATTTGATGCATATTTGTCAGTGACATGAACACATGGAAAACAAATGATTATCCAGCAGTTCACTTTAATACAAAATAACAAACTTTGCTGAATAAAATAAGTATTGTAAACATAAGCCTATCCTACTACAACAATAAATAAATAATGCACATTTTTTGTGCAACAGCAAACTTGTAAACATATTTGTTCCTTAAATGCAATGACTGCAGGCTGCAGCTGTAAAACAGAAAAAACTAATCATTAGCTCAATGCCACATTATGTGGCGACAGCCTGCTTTTTCCACTTGTATTTCCTCTGAGCTCTTGCAGCAGTGAGGAGTTGTCCGCCCCCAAAAGCAGCGTCGGCGTTTAAATTACTCTGTTGTCTCCCGCCATCTTCTCCATGAGCAACACTTGGCTCGACCAATAGGATGAGGGGATTCTGGATTGTTACATATATGTTGTCAACTCATTGGTCACAATGCAGGACAGGGCCCTGAAAAATGTTTACCGTAAGTTTTGTGTCTAACGTGCCCTTGTTCTTCATTCCATTAGCTTTTTAGTGACCATTTTTTTACTCCCACAGTAATACGGGACAAAGTGCGTTCATTTTCCATTAAATACAGGACAGGTACTTATATTTCTAAATACGGAACCATTCCGTTTTTCAAGGGACGGTTGGCAACCCTAGCCATCATCCCACCAACACATCTATAACTTTAACTGCTCACCTAAGCTGCTAACGGTGCAGTTGGCCTAAATTAGCCTTTGCTTTCATCAATCAGTCCCAATGATTCCCAAAGCTGGGACCGTTGATAAACTGATCTGCTCAAGAAATTAAGCTTAACAAATATAATTTATGTTGGAGGACTTAAATATATAAAACATCACTTAAAAACTGAAACCAACTGCTTTGGTTGTTGATGTTTTTATTATTTTTTTAAATGTTTGGTCTGTGGTATCATTGGGTCAGACACTTCTGATCCGTCCCATGGTAGCCGTCTGCGTGCAGATACTCATGATACGCTGGTTGAGCGCCATTAGATCCATCGAGATCTTACAATTATCTCAGAATACTCTCAGTTAGCACCAGAGATGGTAAGTAACGAAGTACAAATACTTCGTTACTGTACTCAAGTAGATTTTTCTGATATTTTTACTTTACTTTACTACTTATTTTTATGGCGACTTTTTACTTCTACTCCTTACATTTTTACACAAATATCTGTACTTTCTACTCCTTACATTTTAAAAAATTGGCTCCTTACTTTAGTTTTGAATCATTTCAATGGAGTTACCGTTATTATTTTTCACGTCATCAATACCAAATTCAATCTAATTGGATGGGAATCTACGTTGCATTTGACGCACCACTACAAGATGAATCGACAGATTCGGCGGTATTCATTGGCGGCAAATCATTGCAGCTTGGTGGCGGTGGCGTTAGCATAGTAGCATGGACGACGAGATGATTGAAAATGAACACAACGGAGATCTAGTCCTATTGGCAGACATCCATTTAAAATGTAGGCAACGGCATGAAAAAAGTGTTTTTTTACTTTTACTTTTATACTTTAAGTAAATTTACAAGCCTGTACTTTGTTACTTTTACTTGAGTAAAGAAGTTTAATCAGTACTTCCACTTTTACCAGAGTATTTTTTAACACAAGTATCTGTACTTTTACTCAAGTACGGAAAGTGAGTACTTTTGCCATCTCTGGTTAGCACATCCATTAGCCTAACAGTTAGCTTACATTGCGCTCATTAGCCAGGCTCTTACCAAGAAGTTAGATGTTAGCCAAATAGTTCGCTCATTCATTACAGATCGCCAAACTATGACCATAGTAGTTAGCCCATGATGTTTGAATACTAGCCTAGCCAGCACCTGGCTGTTAGCATATCCATCCCTACTAGCCGTTGATTTAGCTCAGTTATGACCATAATAGCTTCCCTTACAGGTAGCCAAGCCAGTAGCTGAACCATTAGCAAAGTTGTTAGCCTTTCAAGTAGCCCTCATCTACTTTTATTAAATTGTCGAGTTTTAAACTCCTGTTTTTATATTTGGCAAAGACGAGTGAAATTCAATTAATTCAGTTTATTTGTATAGTGCTCATTCACAACACACGTCATGTTAAGGCACATACAGTTCAACCAGATCATACAGTCAATTGAATCAAAGTTTTCTATCTAAGGAAAACCAGTTGATTGCATCGACTCGAATGAAATCCCTCTAACTAAGCATGCTTGTGGCGACAGTGGAGAGGAAAAACTCCCTTTTAACAGGAATTCCGTAAAAATTTTAAAAATATCCACTGGACTTGGTTTCCAAGATTTGAAGACGTTTCGCCACCTCTCCAGGAAGCTTTCTCAATTCAAATGTCTGGAACAGGAAGAAACCTCCAACAGAACCAGGCTCAGTGTGAGCGGCCATCTGCAAATAAAGCAAATAAATTTAGTAAAGTAATTCAGATTAACATGCGTCTATTTCACAGCCTTCCACACGTTAACTGAGGAGCAGAACTTATTACTGTAAACTATAAAAGAAGCAGAACCAAGTCTGAAACTGGATCTTCTTAAACCAGAACCAAGACTTTCCAGAGCTTTGGATCCAGTTCTGCATTATACTTGATTTCTTCACAAGTGTTTTGAATGATGAGGGCTTATATTTTATGTTTCTTCTTTGTGTGTGTGTTTGTTTTTTTTATTTATGAGGAATGCAAACTTTGTCACCAACAAAACCATAAAATGCTTCTTGGTGGCATTTCTGCAAAATGCAGGAACATGATAAAACATAAAAGGTTCTGTTCAGATGAAATCATCTGGATGGGAACAGTTGAGTCTTTTTCCATGAAGCAAACTGCAGCCATTGCTGCGGTCTCTCAGCTTCCCGATGTTTGCCAATGATTAACTGTGTAAACTCTGCTGTTGGTTGACAGATGCGCTCCGTCGGTTCCTGGTAGAAACGCACACATCTGTTCACACAATCTTGACCACATTCTGGGACATTGTTTTTGTCTTTCAGGGCGACACACCCAAACACCGCGCCTCCAAGGCCAACGACCAAGAACTGGCCAACTACCTGGAGAACTGTCAACATTACCAGATGATCCAGAGGGAGGACCAGGAGACGGCAGTGTGACCTGAACCCGGACGCCTTTCTCCTCCAAGTCCTGTTGGGTTTTGTGGTTCTTGTTCTCCACAGAGCTGAGTCTGTCGGAATGTAAACGGATAAAATCCCCTCGGCTGTCGGCGGAGGCCGATGGATTATTCTTTGTTTTGTTTGTGCTTTAACTGAGGAGAGACGAGGCGTCTTGATGAATCCAGTTTCTAACTGCCTGAAGAAATCTCAGTTCTACGGCCGAACTGAGCAAAACAAATGGCTTGAGGGCACTAAAAGAAATTCAAACTAGTTTTTATTTTTCAGCCTGAAGGACACAAAGAGCGACGCAGCTGCGGATCACCAACAGTGACAGCATTCATGTTTCTGCAGCTTTCATACTAATAAAGCAAAATGTGTCTTCTGTTTAGCTTCTAGTGACCTTTTGGATGTTCACTGCAGACAAATAAATGTTTGGATATATTTAATGTAGACAGGGATAAATTGAAATATTTATGATCAGATTGTAGAGATAAACTCACTTTGCCTGTAATCTGAGTTCTCGATGTTTTACTCGTCTGTTACAGAGGTTTTAAAGCCAGCGGCTGCAGGGCGCTTTCGTTTTGATGTGTGGACTGTAAATACCCGCAAAGCTCGGTAGTTTGTCAAAGAGAAGCCGAAGCCAGATTCTGCCAAAGCAGCCGAGCCTGTATGATTATAACGCGCTTCTTTACCAATCAGGAGATTCATATCACTGTATTATATTCATGTAAGGATTGTTTGGTTTCATCATTTCTGAGTGACCTGCAATAAAGCATGTCGACAAAGAAATCATTCTTGTCCTCAATTTGGGATCCAAGAAACAAAACTGATGAATGTTTTCCTGGTTTTGGTCAAATGATGATTAGAAAAAGAATATAGAAGAAAAAAAACCCACAAATCAATGCTGGGTACAATTTATTAGCACTTAGATTATTAAAATCTAACCTTTAAGTGAAGAGAAACAACATGATGAAGAAAACTGAATGTGGAGAGTTTGGAGCATATAAACAGTGACCTCATTGTTTGTTTCCAGGAAACCTCAGCATCTACGTCACCTTGTCCCTGCTTTGGAAAGTCAGTGTTTGTTTTAAAAGTTACTCTAATTAGCGTCTTTGTCATCAAGTGACTCCAATAAACTTTGCATTACGATCGCAGCCCAGCTTTTAGAAAGCCGTTCTGATCATCTGAATCGTGTTCAGCACCACCCTCACCCCACAAGGCTAACATCCCTGCTTTCACTCCCCTTTGACTCAGTAGTTTGCACATTTCTTCCACTTATTACTTCTGATAACTTTATGGTTTTCTGTTCATTTATTATAAGCACATTCCTTCTGAAAAACTCAACTTTGCTTCTTAGAGATTAAGATTTCTTAGAAATCTTGACTATTTTTATGCTTCAGGTCTCTGCTTATGCTAAAGAGTAGGGCTGCAACTAATTATTATTTTGCAATCGATTAATCTGTTGATTTTTTTTTTATTTTTTTTTTTTTTATAATTTTTTTTTTTTTTTATTAATCTGACATGAAAAGGTTCCTTAATGACTTTTTTACAGAATTAAACCTGGTGAAACAAAAAAATGTCCTCTTGGGGATTTCTGAATTACAGAGCATATTGACAGATGAAAACTTTTTTCTATCTTAAATGATAAATACGTACACTACAAAATAAAATAAGTGATTTTTTTCTTAAAATAAGTGCATTTTTTCTTGAATTGAGGAGGTAAGTGCAACACTTTGCCCATGGAACAAGACAATTTACAATAAAAATAAAACAATTACATCGTCTTATTTCAAGTGCATATTATTATTTAATTTTATTCTAACAGTAAAAATCCTCATTTCATTGGCAGATTATCTTATTTACCTTCTCAAATTAAGGGTAAATACATTCAATTTAGAAATTTCTATTTATCATTTTTTCCACTGTATTTTAATTTTTTTTTTTACAATTTTGGTATAATTACTGCCCTAAGTGGGTTGCTCTGTCAGCTAAAAGCATGTTTTAGTCTTTACACTTCAGTTAATGATTAATCAGTAACTACATTAGTTGGCAATTATTTAAATCGATTAATCACACTAAATCTGACTGTTTCAGCATTTAGCGGTATAAATGCAAAGATTTAACTCATCGCTCTCACTATTCAATTCAGTTTATTTTTCTAGCACCAATTCACAACACGTCATCTCAAGGCACTTAACAGTTCACCAGATCATCCAGTCAAATTTAAAGTTTTTTATTTAAGGAAAACCAGTTGATTGCATTGACTCGAATGCAATCCCTCACACTAAGCATGCTTGTAGCGACAGTGGAGAGGAAAAACTCCCTTTTAAAAGGAAAAAACCTCCAGCTGAATCGGGCTCAGTGTGAGCGGCCATCAGCTGAGGCCGACTGGGGTTCAAGGAAGCAACTGTAAAAGGCATTTCAGAGGATGAAGAGAGCACATCCAGCCAGTCACAGTCAGAGAAACAGGACTCACAGGATGTGAGCAGCACAGCTGATATTTCTCTCCAGGATGGAGTCACAGCCAAACAGGAACAGACCAGATGAAGCTACTATGAGAAAAAGCAGAGAGAGCAGAACGTTAGAGATTGAACTAATAGATTCTGCAGAATGGGAGAATAGAGATAGAATGAAGCAGAATGATGAAATGGGGGTCCTTATGTCCTCCAGCAGTCTAAGCCTATAGCAGCAGAACTATAGAGATAGCTCAGGTTATCCTGAGCTACTCTAACTATAAGCTTTATCAAATAAGGAAAGTTTTAAGCCTAGCCTTAAAGTGGCCTTTTAGTCTTCAAGGGTCTAAATACTTGATCAGTTTCTAGTCATTTTTTGCATTTAAACTTGGCTAAATCTCACCTTAATTCAGCACAAAGAAATGAATGAATATATTGTCCCATTATCAGTATGAAGGTAAAACCTGTAACATTTGGAGGGAAGTCAGTATTGACTCTGGCTGGTGTTCATCAGACAGACGGCGTTGGGGAACAGTCTATCCATCATCTGGAGGGTTTTTGCAAATACCGTCTGTAGCGCCAACCTGAAGGGGAAACTCTAAACACTGGTTTTTCATTAAGCGTTCAGTGCCAGAATAACTTTGTTTGGGCCAAGTTTAAAGTGGAGCACAGAGATGTGGGACACCTGCCAAGCTCCTGTGGCTGGAAAACTGAAGAGAGGCGAGCAGGAGCAGGACAGCGGCGTTTTAACGTCCATAGCAGAAGCACACAGGAAGTAGGTTCATTTGGATGATTTTTAAAAATATTTTTCATTCAGTTCTTTTTTCCAAAACTCAGCACAATTTAAAGTTGTTTTTTCCCCCAGCTTTTATTGTCATTACACTGTCACAAGTACAGAGCAACGAAATGAACTTTCTGCATTTAACCCCTCCCTTTGGGGAGCAGTGTGGGGTCGGGGCCCCGCCCCATACTGGTATTGGTATCAGTGCAACACTATTTCAAACCAAAAATATGAATTTTCAATTTGAACAGATTTAAATTAAACTAAATGATTTTGTTTTGGTTTTGTGACTATTGCCCTGTTTTTTTTTTGTTTCATGCTTTTTTGGGTCCCCATAAAAACAGGCTTCCCCCTGTGGCCCTCCTAGTAAACATGTTTTAGAACTGCTACCGTCCAGGAGCTCCAAAATGTCCTGTCTGAGAGCAAGAGACTTCTCTTGGTCGGAGTCATTTTCACTCTTGAACTTCGGGGGACGGCTGAACTGAATACAGTAGCTGAAATCCCCCACGGCTCTGAGGGGGTGGCCTGCAAATGATGGAGATGCTCCTTTAAAAAAATGACCATGAGCCTGGAAGTGGGAGTCAAACGTGACTACTGGGGCCCCTTGCAAGGATTTGGAGGGCAATATATCCTGTGAGTTCTACCTGTAGGTGCCAGAAGGTTGGATTGCTGGGAGCGCTGACGGGACTGACCCCTCCTACAGTCTGCTTTCAGGGGAGGATGGAATGTAGGCTGTAGACCGAAAGGCGCCTGCATGCTTTGGCCGTGTCCTAGGAGCTTTTTATATTATTATTTTTCCTGTACAGCATGTTCCAAGGTCTGTTGGGCTACAGGTCAAAAAACCCTGGAAACCTCAGAAGGCAGGAATTGGGCCAACCAAACTTGACATCGGGCAATAGCAAAAGTAGACCTCAAGCTGCTAAGCTCCTGGGACACGCAGGCAAATGTCTGAAGTGAAGTTTCACTCAAGCTCTGTGCTGACCTGTCAACCCCTTCTTCCTGGAGAGACCAGGAAGTGTAAGGACAAGATGGGAGAATCGGTTCCCTAGACGACCAATCCACCTCTCTATTTCATAACCTACGCTGGGGCTGCAGACAATGAGGCTTCGGTCGGGCGGCATCAGCAGGGGCTAGAATCAGGCTAGTATTAGTGGCGTCAATAGAAGACATGGTCCAAAGCCAAACTGAGACACATCACTCATGGCACTAAGTATTTAGAGGTGGTCACCAACACCTCTGAAGCTTTTCAATGTATGGCAAAGAGGTTGGGACACTAAGCACTGGTTTCTGGGCACTAGAGGATGCAGTCTCCACAGGCAGCACATCAGCTCCATGTCCTGTCATTGGTTTGGACCAAAGCTCTCTGACAGCAGTAGCTGAAAGAGGGGAGAGTCTCTGGGCTCCAGACTGAAGCAGTGACTCAATCTAAGGAAATGAAGAGACTGTTTTACTTGGCAGATAAGGCCTGGTCATAACGAGTCCTTTTCACTACCCTTGGGGCGTCACTGTTTGGGCCTTTACGTCTCCTCATCCAACATCAGTGTCTGACTTCAATAATGCCCTTCTTGGAGAATGGTCTAAACTTCTTATTTACTTGGAGCTGCAGCAGGACCTTCGACACAGCGTTGACTCAGTGGATTAAGACTGGAGGTGAATACTTGAGATGACGTCAATGCTCCCTCATCATGCTTCTTAAAACTGGCCAGGTTTAAGTCCAAACAAAGCAAGAACACTTCTTTTTTTTTTAAATAAAGAGAACCAGATCACAGCAGGGTTTTGTAGGATCTGTTCAATAAATAAATGTTTGTTCAGAAACTCAATCAAACCCAAATAGATACTTTTTTGCACATACATTTCTTAAGCTTTTAGGCAAACTCTTATGGTAGGATCACAGTCTACCTGACAGACCTCCAGAGTTCTGGTGCTTCTGCTGTCAGCACCAGTACAGAACGGTACCGTACTTTTCACTCTTTTAATCCAGTTCACCTCTAGTTGAACTTTAGTTCCTGTAGCACAGGGATGTCAAAGTCAAATACACAGAGGGCCAAAAAAACTAATTTGCTACAAGCTAAGGGCCGGACTGGTTAAATATTTATTAAAACATATTGAAATGAACATAACCTATTGAACCAAGACCTAACACAATGTTTGTTTAAATTAAAATATTAATATAAATATAATTAATAAACTTCTATTATGTTAATAAACTTATTAAGATAAATGAAAGTACATGCATTATAAATTATGTTTGGTTTTTGATTTCCCTCCTTTAACAATCCAAGCAAACTGGGCTGAAGCCGGTTGTCTAAAGGCCAATTTATGCTTCTGACACATAGCCTCTGCAACCGTCAGATCTGTCTCTGTTTTTTTGAGGTGCGCAAAGACGGTTACAGAACCTCTGCGAGGGGGGCGTGGTCGCGCACCTCAAAAAATTCTGACTACGGGTCTGACGGTCACAAACCCAAGCAGACCTCAAGCGGATATGCACACACAAAAAGCAGCTGTGATTGGTCCTTGGTATGCCTTTCCAGCTGTCTGTGTGGTCGTCT